AGAGAGAGAGAGAGAGAGAGAGAGAGAGACAGAGGGGGGGTGTTAAAGGGGTGTTTGTGTGCATGTTAGGGTTTGACTAATTGTTTATTTTTAAAAAGACAGTCGGGGTTGACAGGTTGAACAAACATTGAACATATTACAGGAGAAGAAAAAAGACATGGAAAAGGAGAGAGACTCCGTGCTGAAGGCAGCTTCTTTGTACGTACCTTGATGACGTTCTCGTCTACCAGAGCTTGTAGCAGTACAATCTCCTTGATGATTTTCCGCGCCGCTCTGTGGTAACAGTACGACATATTCCGGGCGTCTCCCAGGCACCGGTTCACGTCGTGTCCATTGATATCCACCGTCTTGACCGCCACCCCATGGCCTTGGAACTCTCCCTGATACACTGCCTTGGTCCAGCCCCCGCCTATGTAGCGCATGTTCTGGATCTTTTCAATGTCCGAACAGTCAAGTAGATGGTCCCTATGAGGGTAGCCCTGACTGGGAAGATCTTTAATATCCACCGGCAGTTTCGATGCTGAATTTCTAAAAACTAAGTTCCGTTCTGATTCTTTTAGTCTAGATTTTTGTAACAATTTTCCAAATAAGTCTTTACCCCCGTCTTGCATAAGCCTCCGCACCCGTCCTTCTATAACAGAATACTGATTCTCCCCAATATCCCCCTGTCCGATGTTGACAATTTTCGGCAAAAATTCATCCGCGAATTCACGAAAAATATCTCTCCTTTCGCGTCGAGAAGAATCTCTCTCAGATCTGAAGAAGGGGGAGCCAGCATCCAGGTCCACGCCACCTTTGCCGGCGATTCCTTCCGGTTTTGGTGCCACAAAACTGTGGTAAGTTTGAAGCATGATGAGGTTACCCATGACGAACACGAAAAGGCAGGACCCGGCGAAGAGCTTGACGCTATCCATGCTCAAACTTCGCGGGCGACGCCGAGACCCATAGGAATGTTTCATCTTGACCATGATGGGAATCAGATGAACATTGGGGTCAGATGGACATTGGAGTCAGACGAACATCGAACTCAAGGCTTACTATAAGTAGGAGGCGACGGCGGTCTCAAATCAGCATTTTCGTTCGTCTCACAATAGACAAGGCTCAGGCTCCATGAAATATTTGCTTAGTATCGGAGCTCAGCCACAACAGCGTTGGAAGTCCAGGTGCATGTCTCATTGTGAAATCTGAAACAAACAAGTTAGATTTAGTTATAGTACGAGTTTTGCAGCACTCCCAATAGAGTAATGTCATATAAGCAACGAAGATTACAGGTGTTACTATAGATTTACTTTTAAAGAAAGAAAGGAGACGAGTAAATGAAGACAGATGTTGGACAGGACAGAATGAGCAAACCACACCAGAGCGCCCGCTAACCATCAACTCTCACGACAGTATTCCACACAAAGTCGGATTCTATTTCAACAGCATGTATATGCATATCGTAATAAAACGGTCAACTTGAAGGAGTATGTGTCTTCTTCTTTCATTCTGTCGCACGTCATACGATGTTTGGGAAGCTGAATGCCAAATACAGCCAGGCACTTTGCCTCCTAAATCACATGAACCCACACCAGAAACCACACTGACCACAGGAATCTTCAGACACGGGATAATATGTAACGCTGTCGTTGAACCAAATAATCATAGTGTTTCTGTTTTTGTTCCGAGCTATTGGACCGAAATAATACATCAGAAAAGCCAACAGCTTACCTCTCATAAATCTCCCGGCTTACCTTGGCTCACAGGTGTGAAAGCGGAAAGCAGGGAGCCTCAGCATGAAATCGGACTGATCTGTTATTGTTTTACATTTTTATGCAGGTACATACGAGTGTGCACTTATTGAACCGTCTCGTGATTATCCAGACATCGGGACCAATCGTATGTAAATGAGAGCAACGCGTGCTCTGTTTACTTGTTTGAGTAAAGAAAAGCGCATCAGCACTATTATAATGGTAATTAAGCTCAGGGGGAAAAACAAGACAGTCAAAAATGAGAGAGACAGAGAGAGAGAGAAAGGGGGGGGAGAGTGAGGGAGAGAGAGGGAGAGAGAGAGGGGGGGAGGGAGAGAGAGAGGGGGGGGGGTCAGAAAGAACCTATCAGTAGCGCCCTCCAACCACCCGCTTGTTTTGTCTGACCTTAGTGTTCTTATAATGGCGACAGTGAAGAGAGAAGAACAAGCAAGTTTTCTTTTCAGTTCCTGTACGAGTTTTACAGCACTTGAAAGAAAAAAAAAGAGTGCCGAAATTTAGAGGTGTTATTGGCGAGAAGACAGATAGATGTTTGGCAGAAAGAACGAACAAACAGACAAGAGCATCCACCAACCACCCACAACAAGCAAGTAAAAATTAAAACAAACAACAACAAAAATAAGCAGACACTCATAACAACAAAAAAAAGTCCGAAAGCAATACGTGACCTCAGTGCTTTTCGGCGTATTCTATTTTTATACCTGTGAAAACAGTTCATAACAAAGAGTGAGCTCAAGAAGAAGTCACATTTTCACTGTTAAAAAATGGAGAAATACAACAAGAAAACACTGAGGTCGCAAATAGTAGGTCCACAGGAAACAACTGAAACACCTGAGAAGTCAGGACTATACATAAATGAATTTTTAAAAAATAAAACAAAACATCAAAAATAAAAATAAACCAAAGAGAAAACAAGAAATATAATGTAAACAAAGTGAAGAACAAACCTGCCAAAAAGACAATGTTTCTATTGAGAAAATACAGTAAAACATCTATAAAGACACATAAAAGAAAACCAAGTCAGAAAACAAGCAAAAGAAAAGGAAAAGAAAGGTCACAAAATCCGGACTGATGGGGCATCACTAACATACGCGGAGTTTATCAAAAGCGCACAAAGTGAATACGGACATAGAAACAAGAGCTAGCATATCATTACCTTGCTGGGGTGATGGGAAAGATCCACTTTTACACTTCCCACACAGTACATAACCACGCACACTAACACAAAAGAATAACCTTGTAGAGAAAAAAAAAAAACTCAGATATTATATATATATATATATATATATATATATATATCCGCAAGGAGAAGGGGGAAAAAACACACACGACACAACAACCCCAGAATATATCCCGCGAAGTATTTCGTAGCAAAAGCTCGCGGCCTCCACCACAGTACGAGGAACTCTAATCCTTCGGTGGGCCAGGCACGACACGACACACACTGAGCGATAAGCGCCTACTAGCACCTACAGATGCGGTCGAGGGTTCTTGGAGGGTTTTTTGTCGCCTCGAGTGGGGGGG